TTAATTTTATACTAAAAAGTTTATTTAAGAAGTAGTACAAAAGCCGTGCCAAATAAAATTTTGGGATAGCTTTCTTACTATTTTTTATAATAATTTTCTTGCAAAAAATATATTGAAAATATAAAAAAATAATAATAATAATTGAAAACTGTTCCGAATGATCATTAGTGCTGCTCAGATGATATCAATAAAATTTTTATCCGTTAAAATTTATGTTTACTGCACAAATTTTTTGAATCAAAATCTGATATATAATTATGTAATAAGGCCACGATCCACAATCAAGGAATTCAACATCGGCCGTCCATCCAAACCACTTCCCATTTGCCCTTGATCCTCCTCCTATTTACGGGCCATGCCACCGTAGGAAATCTATAAATAGACCCTCATCCCTCTTGAAGAGAGGGGCTCTAAGCAAGAGAGCAAGAGAGAGATCGAAGGTCGCTCTTGCCTCCTCGCTCCTCCTCGACCACTGCCTGGTGTTTCGCCGGACCACCACTTAAAGCCCTAAGTTTTGCCGGACCACCACTTGAGGCCCTGAGCTCCGCCGGATTACAACCTGACGCCCAGAGTTTTCTCAGACCACCTTCTAAGGCCCGAACTTCCGCGGAACCACCACACAAGGCCCAGAGTTTCGGCGGACCGCCACTTGACGCCTGAAGTTCTACCGGACCTCCACTTGATGCCCGAAATTCTACTATATCATCACTTGACGCTCGGATTTCCACTGGACTATCATCTGACGCCAAACTTCCACCAGACCACGACCCAACGTTGAAGTTCTAGGCTACCAACTAACGCCCGAACATTCAAGTAGCATCGAACTTCAGTTATTCCACTAAGAGGCACTGGACCTTCATCCTCTAGGGTCGCTATATTTCAAACACACGGTTGATATTTGTAATCTAATCGCCCTCGAAAGCGAGGCAGCCCACCATAACCTACTTAAGTTTTAGTGGAATCATTTTGAACTAGTTCAGGCCCCATGATTTTCCCATTTTCAGGATTTTTCACATAAAAAATCTTGTGTTCTCTATGTGTGAGCTGGATATTCATACTACACTAAGATGTAAGACAACAACTATATTGCTGCGTATATTCTAGCCCATAATAAAAGTAATAAAAAATAGTGATAAAAGTTTTTCACTAAAAAGCTGAAATTTATTTTTTTGAGATTTAGGCTTCGTTTGGGACGGCTTTCTTACTACTTCTTAAAGCAGCTTCTTAGTATAAAAATTTTAATTTTTGTACTAAAAAGCTGCTTCAGGAAGCAAGAAGAAAGCCGTCCCAAACGAAGCCTTAGGCTTCATTTGGGACGGCTTTTTTATTGCTTTATCCGTTTTAGTACAAAAATAAAAAAAATTTGAACTAAAATTCCGTTTTAAAAGCAATAAAAAAGCCATCCCAAATAAAGCTTTAGAACGTTGATGTTTTATCAGCATGGTAAGTTAAACATTAACTGATGAGTTGGCTGGATAATTTGTAAGAGGACATCATAATCATTAACTGCTCTATACGTAGCATTTTCTTTCTTTTCTAAATCGATTTCTTAAGTTGAGAATTGTTGTATTTTGGTCTAGTTTTAGGACTAGTGTGTTTCGCAAGACACCACATTCATCTCTAGTCTATAAATAGTGTATATGTTGATGTACGGATACACTCATGGATGAGAATATAAATATCTAAAGATCTCCCTCAATTTCCCTGCCTCTTTATCTTCCAAGAAGCTCAAGAAGTTCTCTTCCTCTTCCAAGAATTTCAAATAAGTGATATTATAGTCTGGTGGAGGTGATCTCAAGGAATATCAAGAAGGTGAGGAGGCAGTCGAGAGGTCTCACGCACAGTGGGGCTAGGCACTGGAAAGGGTTCTCAGGCGGGAGAACCTTCAAATCACAGGCGGCGTGCAGAGTATTATGGCCGCTTTTAGGAATGTTGGCGGGCTGACGTCCATGCGGACAGTTCGCATTCGGGGTGTGGATGGTGTGAGGAATGGCGAAGGGTGTGGATGGTGTGAGGAATGGCGAAGGGCAGACACGTGCGAGGCACTATGAGAGCGATAGGCACGCTAGCGTTGGTTTCCATGTGGGCGGGCCAAAGCATGTATGGCGTGGGAGAAGGATCGAGCAGGTCTCATTGAAGTCGAGGGAGGAAGAAATGCGCTGAAGTTCATGCGGGATCGAATCATAGTCGAAAGTTGTGTCCGCATGCAGAGGGTTTGGTGGAAGGCTCATGCAGATGGATTTGGCTGAACACAATGGGTCTCACTGGAGGCACTGGTCAGGTCACTCAGGGAGGCGTCGACGAGTTGGTCACAGAAGATACACGGGCGCAAGTGAAACGTGCAAGAATAAGCATACGAGCTCATGAGCAAAGGCCATAGTGGAGTGCTCGGTGTGGGCGCAAAATCGGAGCTGCAAGTCTACTATCGGGCATAGGGCACAAATTAAGCATCAATATCGGGCATGGGACCGGTTGGAATGGGGATTTGTCTGTTATTGTTTTAAGACCTGTTTAGATCTTTTGAGTGGAGCCTCTGGGCCGGAACGCGGGCAAATCAACAAGCACATTCATCGGATTTTATATCATGGGGTAGTGGATTAAGAACCTTGGGGAAGCAGGATCAAGAACCTCAAAGTAGATCCGTGGGAGGCAGCCATGCATGAGTCCACAAGAAGCTGGAACTGGACTCGGGATTGGACATGTGTCTAAAGCGAAGTTGCAGGTTGGAGAACACATGGGTACATAGGGAAGATGGGCGAGCCAGAGAGCGTGGGCATGCCGCACAAGAGTTAAAGCTGCACACGCCACGAGCATGCAGATCACAAGAGGAATAGCGACGACAAAAGGTGCGCGTGAGTTAGAACGCGCGTAAGGCGCAAGCTGGAGTTGTCGATTTTAATGCACAATGGAGGTCAAACTCGAGCGGGCTTGGGCTCAGCTCAACTGTAATATCAAAAATCTGCTCCAGGATCGTCCAGGACGATTTGGATCGTCCTGGGACGATCAGTGGAAAGTTTGCGGGTCGTGACATCAACTCATTTGCTCATGGAGTTAGCGCAGGGAGCATGTCATATTGCATTAGGTGCGGGTTCTTCTGAATAAGTGGTTCTTTGATATTCATTGCAAAATATTGTCTAAGGTAGACTGGTAGAGATTATTGTATTTTGGTCCAATTTTAAAATTAGTGTTGTTGCGCAAGACACCACATTTATCTCTATTATATAAATAGTGTATAGGTTGATGTTGGATACACCCCTAGATGAAAATATGAATCAATAAAGCTCTCCCACCCTTTCCCTGCCTCTCTCTCTTCCATGAAGCTCAAGAAGCTCTCTTCCTCTTGTAAGAATTTCTAACAAGAATATAACATACTGACTAAATTAAATAACAAACATTAATGGGAAGCATGCTGCATTTAAAGAAGAGATCTATCAAACCTTATATTTCACTTTCATAAGTTTGATTAAATATTTTTATGAAGAAATCAATAAAATAGTCTCTACTGATATGTTTAAGACCTTTATTCTATCTGATATATTTTTGGTCTATTTGTCCAATTTATCGTTCACATGGAAGACTGAAAATAGACAAATAGGTGACGATTCCTATCAGAGATCTTCTTTCAGCTGTGTAATTATGCAATTGTGGTGTTTGGTTTCTCACTGCGTCTTACAGTGGAGCTTTTATTATTTCACTTCAGTCTTCAGTTGATACAGCAAGTATCAACAGAATGGACTTTAAAGTTCTCTGTCACAGTTTTCCTGATTCTAGTTAGCTTCTATGCTGTTTACTTTTTGTCAGTAGTGTATTTCTGCTTGCATTCTTGCAACTTACTGGTGCACAACTGAGCGTTTGAGGTTTTTTTTTTCCCTCACTTCAGTAATCTTTTTGTTCCCTTCTCCATATATTAGGCCGAGCTCTCACCAGATTTAGAGCTAGCACAAGAACAGAGCAAGATAGATGATTTTGCTTAGCAATTGATGATTCTTTTCTAGAGCAGAACCATCCCCACTTCCATCACTGCAGTTGGAATTCTTTTCATGTTTAAAGGCAGCGAACTATCTAAGATCAAGCAAAGAATTTTCCACTTATCAAATGTGCAATTGATGCTGCAAAGTTAGACGCACGAATCTACTTACAAATTTCAGAGTTGGAGGAGGCTCAAATTTAGTTTGATGGCTTGCTGAACTTGATTCGAGTCTTTTATCAAATAGAACAAACATCAACAATGGCTGAGCTAAAGCATCTCCAACCGAAAATCCCATTTTTCACTCCAAAATGCAGAGAAACTCAAAATTGCCGTGATTCATCTCCAATCGAACTCCATTTTGGGCGCTTCTGTGAAGGTAACCTTCTTTCACCTCTTTCGCGCGTTTCTTCGACAAATCGGGTTGAGACAGAAAAATCGCATAGGTAAATAGTGCAACATCAATATTGGCGTCGCACTATTCACCCGCAAGCAAAAAGCGAAAAATTTGGCGTTTGGCAGGAGCGACTGAACGACGCCATATGCATGTTAGGCGTTCGGTTGGAGATGCTATAAGGATTTAAGTGAAAAGGGGGAGAAATAGTAAAGCTTAAATAATATACATAATCTCCATATAATTTTATGGTTAAAATTTCATAATATACATAAGTGTATGAGATTTATCTCAAATTTAAAGGGGCCGAGAACCATCCACAACTCTTCCTTGATTCCACCACTAAACATCACCTTGAGTAAGTTACAGTTCAGTTCCTTAGATTAGATAGGGCTTGCGAAAAGCTGGAATCTTTTACTAAAAAATCAGCAATGTTCATTTAGACATCTAGTAACTCATGACCATAAAATGCCCTCGAAGCCCATATCTTCACTAATAATCTGGTTCTCACCTAAGTTACAGAGAAAAAAAGAAAAAAACAGTGGGCTTTCTTGAGTTTCCCCACAATGCAGAGGCTCGGCCCTTATCATCTCAAAGCAAAATACTTGCTATGTGGTTGGATGAATTATTCTATGCGGACATCGAATGTCATTCAAAGTCCAATAAAAATGTACCACGTCACTCCTATTCGATAAATTGTGTCCGGTATCTGCACAGAATAATCTCTCATGTAGTTGACAAAAGGAAAAAAAAGGGCCTGGCAGGCCGGGCCCCTCCTCTGCATTGCAAAAGAAAGCTCTCTTCACATACTACTCACGCTAGAAGATAAATAAAGGCAAGAACTAAAGCCTTCAAAAACTGAAGGTGGGAAAGGCATTGGAATTCATGAGGATCGGTTGGAGATTAAAGTAACTGTCACTACCACAAGGTAAATACGCCAACACTGAGATGCTTCTTTTTCCCTTGTGCTATATATACATAGATCATCGAGCATTGGTGTTGCTGCCTGGCATTTTCCCAAGCGAGAGTGTAAAATATAGTAGAATTAGGGTTCCCATGCTGGACCTGCACCAAATATAAAAAAAAAATGAGCACATTTGCTAACAAAAGAAATTCAAACTTGAAAACATTTTAGTCGTGTTTGGATCAAATGAACTGAAGAGAATGAAAAAGAAAGCAATTGTTTATACTCTGCAATCAAACTTTCAATGAGTTTTTCTTTTCATTTCACAGAAGCCTTACCTTCAAATTACAGAATTTGTTATCATAATTTACAATTGTTAATAATTTTCTTTTCATTTTTCATTTTATTTATCATAATTTACAATGTATCACCTAAAAAATAATGTTAGCTCTAAAAAAAATAGATAGACCTCCATGATTCTTCTATAGAAGATTGAAGTATAATGTTTTACGTTGATGGTCAAATGCTATAAAATTATGGAAGAATTCATATTATTTTGTAGTAATTAGTTCAGAAATAGATCTAGAAAATGGGAGTATGCATCCAATAAATTTTAATGTTCTTTACAATGTCTTATATGAGGTAGTGTTAAAAAAATATATTAATCTTAAAATAAATTCAAAATTTTCAAATTTTTAATCAAATGTTCTTTAGCATATTCTATACTAGTTTTTTTTATTTTAATTTTATTATCACTAACAGTTTTAAATGAATAAAAATAACTTATATTGCATCCTCTCTCTGTCTCTCTCTCTCCCTCTCACCTTCCCCCTCTCCTCACATTTGGTCATACTATTTAGGATTAGAGACTCCTGGTCATTTCTTGATCAAAACTAAAATTCCTAGCCAACCAAAGATCTAACCACTCTACTACAACATAGACCTAGCTCATTACACACCATAGACTCTCTCATCCTTGATGCCGGTACTCACACGGACTTTAACTTGCTAACCAAAGCCCCATAATCTACATCTCCCTAGTCAAATTGTCGAGCTTTTGTTGGGAACATGTGAAATTTAGCTCTATATCTTAATTTGATCCATTGACTTTGACATTATCATTCTCACCTAATTTTATCTTTGAACATTTTTTCATTCTTTTTCTCTTGAGACACCTATACCTTTGTAAATTTACATATTATTAATATAATATTGCTATATGAATATGCAGAACAAACTCTCTCAAATGGCAAGGTACTAACAACAACACTTCTAGAGAATCAAGTACTCGTAGTATTCCTAATGTTTCTATTATTTGGTAGCCTACTAGCTTTACCAAAGATAATCCTCCATTTTATCTTTAAGAAAACTATTGTTGTTATACCATTTTGTCAACTTCAAATGAGTCTTATACCAATCATGAGGCTTTTTTGGATCCCTATTGACAATAAGCTAAGCAGAAAGAATTTTATGCCTAGGATTTAGTTAATTTATCTATAAAGATAGAATTATTGTTAATAACAAATAAATATATAAAATTAAAACTTTCTCATTTGAGTTTGTTGAGCATCATAAAGCCCACCTTATTACCAAAGGGTACAAACATCAGTATCATTTTGATTTTAGCAAGACATTCACTCATGATGCTTATCTTATGCGTTAGGAATTGGTTTAGATTTTAGTTAATTTTTTTTCGTTATACTATCTTTATGTTTTTGTGTAGCTTTGTTTTGTCATTGATGCTATAAATAGTTGCAATAGGATGTATAGGGATTCTCTAAGCCAAGGGAATAATTTTTTTTTTTTTTTGATTTGCTCTCTCCCTCCCTCCACCCCCCTCTCCCTCATCCAAAAAAGCTTTCTTCCTCTCAAGAAATTCCAACAAATTGGTATCAGAGTATCGTGGAGATGATTGAGGGGAAGGAGGAGGAAGTTGCTTCTTGTATTCACGAAAGAAAGAGGGGAGGTTTCACGACGGGCTCAGTGAGATCACGAGCGATGGAATCGGGCAAGGGCATCGAGCTGGTGTCATGCTTGCCAGTGGATCAAGAATCTCAAGGAGGCAGCCAGCACGGGAGGTCAGGCCGAAGCGGTTTGGTCTCGCACATAGCGCAGGCGGGTGAGAGATCGGGATTGAGCAGGTGAAGCGCTTGGAACAGGCGATTGGACGCACGAATGCTCGTGGTAACCATGCGTGTGGAATGGAGGAGGGCTTGGGCATGCAGGCATTAGGCTAGCAGACTACGAAAATATGCTAGAATGCACGGGAAGCAACTGGTTGCAGAAGCACGAAGGCAGTCACTGAGCTCGAGCTCGAGAAAATGACAGATCGAGTATGAAAGCTGTGCGAGCAGGCGAGCGAAACTAGCGTTGTGTGGACGCTAGCCTTGGGCACAGTCATATGCACGCAGGGTGTAGGGTGGACTCAGGGCATAGTTGAAGCCTGGGCGCATAATAACGGAGAAAGGAAGACAAGACTACAGTTGGGTTTCCTTCATGCAAGATTCAGTGGAATAGGAGCCGGATGAGAGGTGGTTGATTCGGATGTGTTGGCCTTGGGTTTTTATCGTTGGATTCGAGCAATCGGTCTGACGGAGACTCGCGCTTGGACAGGCACGCGGGCAACTACCTGAGTCGTAAGAGCAGACTACGGGGCCATGGTTCAGAACTCACATTAGAGCCTGTTAGATTGCATCAAACAGGGGTTCTTACAAGTAGGTGGAAGAGAGCAAACAGGTGGAGGAGATCCAATTGATCATGGACTGTTCTTGTGAATAGTAGATTGTAAAATTTGGACTAAGGCAGAGATGGTTAGAAATTGGTCAAGATTTTAGTTAGTTTTTTTTCATTGTACTTTCTTTAGGTTCTTGTGTAGCTTTATTTTGCTATTGATGTATTTTTTTTAATAAATAAGGAATAAAATTTCTTTTGTTCTAATTTTCTCTCTCCCCCTCTCCCTCATCCAAGAAAGCTTCCTTACTATCAAGAAATCCCAACATGATGTCTATACACTCACTCATAGCTATTGCTACTCTTTGTTGCTAGTCTTATTTTATATGCCCACCACCTAGTCTTGATGTCTATTGGGCAAGATTTATTGACTCTATCAAGCCTTTTATGGACTCAAGCAAGCTCTTCTTTCATGGTTTGAAAAGTTGAAAAAAAAAAATGCATGGTTTTAAAAGTTTAGCCACACTATGTATGACCTAAGGCACTCTTCCAAGTTCCAACCGGCCTCATGGCTTACTCTATGCATCCACACACACAAAAAGCATGATATTACTGATTTATATCAACATGAGTATCACTAATAATGAAAATGATGGTATATATGCTCTTAAAAGGTAATTCCAACAATTCTTTGAAATGAAAGATCTAAGTTACCTACATTATTTTCTAGGTCTTAAAATCTCTTCAAATTGGAGGATTGTTTTATCTCATTATTACTCACTACATTGTAAGTGTTATATACTATTTTTTTACAACACAACTCACATTAGTCTGTTGGTTGGGAGCTTAGACTACCAACAAAGAGATCTTGGGTTCAAGTCTTGTGTATGTAATGTGTGTGTAAGTTTGTCCTTAATTGTCCTAAATGTCAAAAAAAAAAACTATTGGTTGAATAAAAAATTTAAAAGGGTTGCTCTTTCCAATGCAAAAGCTAAATATTGAGCCATTACATATGATGGGGGGTAGGCTTTGATGAGTTCTCACCAATAAGTATATTATTATCGATGGTCCCTCTAAAAATGTAATTTTCAGTGCTTAAAATATTATTTATCATAAGCTCACCAAGCTTAGACAATAATTTTAAATTCTTGATTCAATTTGACTTAACCTGATTGCTTAATGTCTAAGTCTAATCAGTTGGCCACAAAAACCTTCCAAGTACATTAAAATAATCAAAGGGAGGCAATCAGGCAACCTTATTAATGCTTCGGCACAGCAATCTCGCACAGAAAAGTCTACCTTTCAGTTTCATTATTTTTTTATTTAACCAATTAAAATCCCAATCGGGTCCAGCTCAATAGAAGATGTGCCAAACTATAGAAATTATTATGGGCGGAATTCTGAGGAATTATTACGGGCAGAGTCCAGATGTAGAATTATGTACGAACTCTAATGAAATTGTGATACGTGAGTTTGTATATATTGTGTACAAATTTGTACATACTGTACATCAAATTTGTATAGTGTATACAAGTTTGTACAATGTGTACAAATCCACATGTTTCATTTTCTTTAGAGTTCGAACGTAGAACTACGTTTATACTCTGCAAGTAATAATTTCTCATCAAACACAAACAGAGTGAGATGTGACAGTGATGACGGTCGACGGAAAAGCACAAGCTTTAAGTACAATCCTTTATTATTTTACATGAATAATTAAAATCTTTAAAACTTTATATATATATTTAACAATATTTGGCTTAACTTCACGCAAGTTTAAAGTAGGACCGGGTGAGGTTGGCCAATTGGCTTCCACGCTGTTTTTGAAATGTTCTGATGTCTATTAGGAAGCAAACCAACTTAACCCGTACCTGCAGTCCAATAGGACCACTATCATATTTTTATACTATGGACCTGTCATCATGGTCCCACACTCCCACCTTTTTTTTTTTTTTTGGAATTTCCCACCCAAATATGACTAACCTAAAAAAATGTGCCTCCTAAATTTTTTAATAAATATATATTAATATGTCAATAATATTTAATATCTCTTCTTAAATGAACTCGTAAATAATATTTAATATCACTTCTTAAATGAATTTGTATAGTGATATAAATAAAACAAAAATAAAATATCTCATACAATTCATCTTAATTTGTTGATTGAGAATTTTGACTAATAACAAATAAATTTTTTATTAAAATTTTACATATATAATATTTTTGTGAATTTATATTTAATTAAAATGCCCGCTACACTCCCTCACACTTGCCAATAAAATTTTAAAAGTAAAATTTTAATTTTTTTTAAACTTTAGTTGAGTAAGCATTACTCTAATTCAAGTAACCGTCTTATATAAAATTTTCCTCAATTCTCAAACGGCGTGAAATGCCCGCTACAGACTATCATAAACATTCAATTCATAAACAAGTATTTGAGCAGCAGACTTACAAGGTGGCGAACAGCACGACGACTCGTCGGGGATCGAGCCGCGGGACCTGCCGCCGACCGGCGATGCGCCTACTGCGGCCGCCAGCTCCGACGAATGCTAATGTCGGGGTCTTTGCAGGAGGCAGCGCAGCGGCTTCTCCATCGGTTGCCACGTGTATAAGAATCGACAAACTTTCCCTATCTGACCATCAAAAGTTCAAAACCATCGCAGCAGTTAAAACAACGAATAATTGACCAAAGAAAAACAACCCCAAACGACAAAATTCCACTTCAGAATTTTTATCGGAAGGGTTGCCCCTAATAAAAACAAATTACTTCTCACTTTCCAGCGATCAAAATTCGAACTTTTATAACGTGAGATTCGCTATTGACTTTCCAACATAACTAATAGGCCAGAAACTAACCGGTAGCGGCGGCAGAGGCGGCGGCGACGCAATCCGCCGTCCTTCTCTCTCCACCGCGCTGCGAGCCTTTTTTAGATAAAGTCTTCTTGAGCTAAAACACAAGAAATATATGGATAAAAAGAATTGGTTAGTGGTTAACTAATTATGGTAAGATAGATTAATGGAAACAAAAGAGGGAACGTAAAGAGGTTACTGGAGTTTGGTTTCCGGCGATCGAATCTTTTTCGCAAGTTTCGAGTATCGGAGATGAGGCCGAGGCCGCGGCGAGGAGCGCGAGACTCTCGATGTCGAGTACGACGAAGCCATCAGATGGCTCCGGCTTTCCCTTCACTTCTTCGAAAGCCACGCCGATTCCGCCGGATTTTGCTTCTCCGGCGAAACCTTTATTTTCAGGGATGCTCCTAGAAGGTTCAAAATCCTAGAAACGAACGAGAACGAGAACAACATATATGAATATAGAATGAAACAGTTAAGGAAGTTAGATAAGAAGAAAAAAAATTTAAATTGGCAGTGAAAGCAGACAAAACCCGGTTTCCGATTTCCATCATCGATTCGCCGGATTCTTGAATCTTCGCCAGTTTGATACGAAGCAAATCAGAGGAAGTTTACGACTACGAGTTCCCCCTACCAGCGTCAAAAGATAACAAGGTGTATCTAACAGTCGTCGGAAGAAGAAGCCATTGAGAAGCTTAATTCAGTTTTCGTTTTCTGGAGCAAGCAAGGAATTTTATCAAACAGCAGCTGGGAAAAAAAAAATGAGAAGACGGGAATATAGGGGCAATTTCTTCGGCGTGAAGAGTAAGAAATTCCGAAGAATTGTTCCAGGGGATAGAATGGAAATTGGATGATTCTTTGGCAATGTTGTGAATGGACTTTGAATTGGTAAATAAATTTGTTCTCGTAACTTCCAATTTGAAATGGACACGCCCTTCGAACTCCCAGCCTGTTGTCTAATTTTCGGGTTTTCTCGCTGCAATAAATTCATTTCTTCCTACAGTGGGATATCAAAACTAGGAATGATCTTTCAATCGATGCTTTGAAAATCGGATCAAACAATAAATCGGAAGAAGGAGAAGTTAACAGTTCGATGGTTCAACGAGGTTCGAACTAGATGACATAATAAATACTTTTTATACTTAAACATTATAATAATGACATAATTATTTATAAATAAAATATATAATAAAAATCAAACATAATTATAATATAAAGCATAAAAACTTAATATTATATAAAGTAAATATGAAAAACATAATACGGAAATGACTGTCGGAGATAAGACTCCAAATTAGAAGGAAAAGGCCATAAACGGGATGCCGAAGAACAAACACGACTATGCGAGGCAATTCGTCCGAATGAAATAAGGGTTTTTTTTGGCTTCTTATAGGCTTAACCAATTCGCCTTCGCATAATACGATTTGCGCGCCTCGCCTTCGCATCTCATCTCATCCATCAGATATGCACTGTAGCTGAATCGGTCGGTTATAGGAAATCAAAATTGGTTTGGCGCCGGTTTGACCTATTAATTACTGGTTTTCGAGACGGGTGAGTAGACTTGGATCCTATGTCAGTTCTTTAATGATACTGAAAGAGAATAAATTTGACAACTCAATTAAGTTCAACTTGACCAGAAAGTTCAACTAACCTTCTGGTCAATTTGAACTTGAACTCGGCCTATTGAGGTGGGCTGAGTTGCATTCAAATTAGCATATTTGAGGGGGATATTTAATTCTCTAATTATATTGTATCTTCAAGGAAGTTTGTAAGAGAATAAGAATATACCCTATTGTGATGGGTTATGTAAATTTAATGACTTTTGTACAAGCCAACATCAAGATGAATTTTAAGTATCCTAACTTTTTTCGGAAGACTTATTTTGTACTCTATCATGCAATTTTTTAAAATGCTGCAGGAAAAAAACAGTGAGTGAGAGAGACACATGAGTATGGATGAGTACCTTTCAGCTCCTTAATTTAAAAAAAAAATAAAAATTTTTTGAGGGAGCAAAAGAGAGAAACAAGAGTGAAATCATTATCGAGATGCCCTCTCTGAGAAACTTTTATTTTATCCAGTGAACGTACGCAGAGGAAGGTTCGGTTTTAGGCAAAAAAGCGCCTGTTTCAAAAAACTCGGTACAGGTGCGAAAAACTCAGTACATGTACTTTTTTGCCTAAAACCGAACCTTCCTCTGCGTATGTTCACTGGATAGAATAAAAGTTCCTCTCTGAGTGATATTCTTCAAATAAATCTCCTGACAAAAAATATTAGTTATGATTATACTTCAGTGAGCTCATCTTGAATGAAAATAATAAATAAACTTTTATGGAAGGGGTGTTGTGCAAACACAACGAAAACAATACAAATTACATAATCAACATAAAGAACGTGACAATTTACGTGGTTCGGTATATATGTCTATGTCTATGAGAATGGGATAATGATTTCACTATATTGAAGAAGAATAAGATTACAATTATTCTCTAGCTCTCTCTTACACACAACAATCCTCAAACCCTCAATTTATAAATTTGAGGCAAAACAAATAAGGAAAAAATTCATAATTAAATCCTCAATCAAATCACCTATCTAGGAAAATAATTAGCTCCATGATCAATTACAATAATGAGCCATTAAAACTTTCCAAAATAAAACTTTTTTTAGATTTGAAAATAATTTCAAATCAATAATTTCAAATCAATAATTTCTACCTCATCTTTCACCTTAGAAAGTAGAATATGACAAGCCAAGCTCCAATATTAGAATGACTGCACCAAGATGACTGCCTACATACCCCCCTCCCAAGGATTCAAGCCAAGTGTAGTTCTTAGTTATGAGTTCTGCACCACTCTCATGGTGACTGCCTCTCAAATATCAAGCTTTTATCAGTTGTACCATTAAGGATACTCTTCACAGCTTGCAAATGACTCTTTTATAGATCATGTGTGAACCTACTCACTACGACAACCTCTTGTGCAATGTCTCGATCGAGCTGCTCCAAAATCAGACTATAGTGTGCTACAAGTGCCAAGTGATTACAGGTCGAGGGATGCTTAATCAATGGGGAGAACACCTCATCATAAGCAATCCCTTCCCATTGCACAAAGCCTTTCTTCACCCTCCTAGCCTTGTATCGAACATTAGCTCCATGATATCCATCCTTCTTTACACACACCCATTTGCACCAAATTAAATGACTTTCCTTCCTTGAGGAAGCTTCACCAACCTCTAAGTAATATTTTCTTAAAAAATTTATATATATAATATATTCATTCATAGCCCTCTTCTATAAATCACTACCAAGATTGTCCACTGCTTCCTTATATTTGATTAAGAACTAAAACCTTTGTGGCTGAAAGTGCAAGTGTAATATGATCCCTCGACTAAATTAGTTTTGGGACATTCTAATGCTTGGACTTATTCCTTGCAATATATTTCTGAGCTAGAATCTCATTCTCAACATCATTTTCTACCTCTTGATCTGCAGCTAAATCTGATACCTGGGTAGAAGTGATCTGTCTCTGTGGAACAAATGAAGTTGCATCAAACTCCAACTTATGCAGTATATTTGTGGTTATAATAGAACTCTCTACCTACTTAGAGTCTCGAGGTTTCAACATGCTCACCTCGTCAAATACAACATATCTGCTAATGACAATCTTTTTTTCTATTAGATTAAAGATTTTGAAGCCCTTGACTCAACGCTTAAAGCCAATAAAGATCATCCTTTTGCCCATCGTTCAAATTTATCATTTTGAACATGCTTGTAAGTTGGACATCCAAATACTCTCAAGTGCTTATAATCTATAGTAGAATCCCCGAACAACATTTTCTTTGAGGTCTTCTTCCCAGTAACTACAAAAAGGCAGATGGTTCACTAAGCGACAGGCATAGTCTATCGCCTCAGTCTAACTCTCTATCCAACCTAGTATTGGATAAGATAAACCTAACTTTCTCAACTAAAGTTTGATTCTTTCTCTTTGTCACCTCGTTCTTTTGTGATGTCTCTCTAACAGTGAAGTGGCGCTCTATCCCAAATAACTTAAAGTAGTGATATATAATAACTTAAAATTTTATGAGTAAATAATAGTCGATGTGTAGAATGGTTGAAATGCTATTTGTATAGGAATATGAACATATAAAGAATATTTTAATCTGAATTGTCATTCTTAATAAAATAAATAAGAGATATATTTCTCTTATTATAGTTATTATACATAATATAAAATCAAAATTTTATATTCATATATATATTATTTTTCTTAAATCCCTAAAAAATTCGTTCGTGATAAATACCAACAAAATTTCAGCAATAATACACATTCCAATAGCCCTTTTGTGTCCAAAACATAATTTTCAATTAAAATAAGTTTTTAAAAGAAATTATGACATAAATAACCCATCACCTAATCCAAATAAAATCCAATTAATTTCCTTGTTCCTACTCACACGATTCTTTTTAAAGAATTTCTTGCGTGGGCAACTGGACAACGCCACTTGGAAGGTAGCTTATTATTGTTTTTCTCGCCTTATCTACTTGAATTGGTTTTTTTTTTATAAATAATTCTGTGAAAAATACTGTCATTTGAAACCGTTATACGTTGATCAGACGGTGAAAAGAGTGGGATCCATGTTAAGCAACAATTGATCGCTGGGAACAACACTCAACTAATACATATATGACGTTAGGAGGCAAATCATAACGTGTCACTTCACCTATTTGTTGTGTATAGCGGCTAGGTAATGCTGTGTACCGGGTGAAGTGGCTTGTTCTAATTTACCTCCTGACAGCCCCGGTGTCTGCACAGAATAATTTCTCCAGTTTATGCGTTTCATATTCGACTTAAGGAGGCCAATGAAAGCGTGACCAAATAGGCTTGTTTTCTAAGATGAAAAATTTCTGCTGATCAAGATTATAAAGAAGCTTCGCTTTGCATTGGTTTGATAATTTCGAGTTAATTCTTAGATGGCGCAAATTTTTTTTTTCCTTAATAAAACTCATGGTAAGGTGTGGGTAGTCTGATAGGACTTGTTTATTTATGGACCTTTTATGTTAATAGCTTGGTTCTTCGTGATAGGAATGCATAGAACAAGCAAAAAGTCATATGTGGGGTTAGTAGATCATATCTATACATTTTTTTGGGCTTTCGGCCGAGCTGTGACCTCAACTTCATCCTTATGTATTCTCCAAGTGTATCTCTTGCACTTTACTCATTATCCTTTGTTTCCATTGACCAAGAGATCGACCTTTGACCTCTTTTTCATCATTCTTTCTCCATAAATTGTTTACTTGCCCATCTTGTTTTGACGATTGCCAAACGTAGGATTGCAACTCATTCTGGTAAGACTCACAAATTGGGCGAGTCTTATCTTGTTGATTTGCAACAGATGAACTCCGAGATCTAAGTTTTCAAAATTACTGAAAATTTTCATCTTATTTTAACTTTAAACAAACAATAATTATAGAGCTATTAAGAACATCTAGTGTACTGAGAATTAGGGTGTCAATTTTTGACACGACCCAAAACACGACCCGAATCCGACATGGAAAAATCTAGATTAGGGTCAACCCGGACTCGAAACGGGTCGGGTTCGGGATCAACAAATCAACCCGTTTTAAAAATCGGGCCGGGTTCAGGTTGACCCAGCAACCCGAAAATGTCTCGAAACTAACACGAAAACGCCTATTTGACCCGGAAACCCGAGATTGACCCGTTTTTCACCCGAAAATCAAAGATTGACCAGATTTTTGACCCAAAACTAGCAATTTTAGGTCAACTTAGAGTCATTCGTGTCGGGTCGGGTTGACCCTGACCCGTATTGGGTCGGGTTTGGGTCCATAAACCTGACCCGTTTTTAAAAACGGATCGAGTTCCGGTTGACCCGAATAGTGCCGGGTCAGTTCCAGATTCGACCCGAACCCGACCCGTTGACCCGAATTGACAACCCTATTGAGAATAAGCTTATCCATAAAATTCTATTTT